TTTGGAGCCCAAAAAGCCGGACATGTCCGGGAAAATCCGGACGTATGGTAACCCTACTACAATCCAAGATGCAAGAAGAGTCTGGCTGTGGAAATATAACCTATCTATTTTTTGAGGAGCTGGACAGGATATTAAGCAATTACACAGCCAAGGAGGTTGTGGATCCTGTGCACAGCTGCACCCCCTTCTCCTGAGGACAAGCGACAAGAGTCATTGAAGGAAGAACACAAGTAGCACAGTGAAGAGCTCTCCCCAGAAAGCCAGAATCTCTTCAGGACTCAGGACTGAGGGTGGCCATGTTGGAAGCCAGCCTGATTCCCAGCCAGAAGCCAGCCCAGGACTGAGGAGGCAGATCCTATCAAAGAAACCTTGGCATGTAAGTATTGACCTTTACAATTTATTATTACACTATACTGCTGTGCTGATTTCTGTTCCAGTGCCCCATTTTGTGTGGATGTGAGCTAGAAGCCTTTCTGAGTCTCCAGTTCCTGCCTCCTTCAGCCCTCTCTGTCCCCCTCTGCCCCCCACATACATGTTCTCAAAATGGGGGCTGGTCTGACAGGGCAACCAGCTTCTGTCTCATGGTAAAGCCCAAACCATCAACTGTTCACAAGCCCATGGTGTAGAGGGCACCTACCCACCTCCCTGTTTTCCTCCTGACATCTGCCTTGAAGCTCCTGGCTCCCCGTGGGGAACCCGGGAGGTGCCAGGACTCCAGGCACGGCGCTCCCTACTGGGAGCTTGTAGAAAGGGGGCAGCCAGACTCCTGGCAGCCCGCAGCTGAGATCCTAGGGATGCAGTTGGGCTACTGGCAGCAGGGAGCCAACAACCCGGGGGCAGCTTGGCTCACAGCAGGGACTGCGTAAGGTGCTAAGAGCCTGGGCTCTCAGCCCCCCACACTAACCTTCTTAAGTTGGTGGAAGTGCTCCTGGTGAGGACACGCACCGCTGACAAAAGGAGAGTAGTGCAGAGAACCACCAGTGCAATTACTAACATAGGGTGACTGAAGTTTCTAGTGTAGACGTGCCCTTAGGGAGAGCATAGCCATACAGCTCTTAAAGGCTTTCTGTGTAAGCCTGTGAAAAAAGACTGGGAGCAGTTAAGGCATCAAACAATCAGTGCAGAACCTGCTCTGTTTTTCTCTGCACTTTCAGCATGCCTGCAATGGAGATAAAGCAGAATCTGAGGTTATGGCTACACTACAGCTTAAGTCGACATAAGTTATGTCGCTCTGGGGTGGGAATTAGCTACCTGCATAAGCAACATAATTTATGGCGACTTAAGTGCTGGTGTGGACAGTGCTGTGTTGTGGGAGTGCTCCTCCTGCCAACATAGCGACTGCCACTTGTAGGGGCTGGAGTAATTAAGCTGAGGGGAGAGCACCTTCCCATCAGCTTAGAAAGGCTACACAGAGAGCTTACAGCAGTACAGCTACATCTGTGCAGCTGCGTCACTGTCAGCTCTCTAGTGTAGCCATAGCCTAAGACTGACAGATTGCTTGATTTTGGTCTTGACATTCTGCGGGATAGCTGTATGGGAATTGCCCCCAATATAGATCACAATTCCCTTCCACTCCATCTTGGTGAATAACTTCACAGCATAGCTCGCTGGTCTGCCCTTTGCTTTTCTGAATAAGGCCATTTTCTGTTTCCTAGTCACTTATCTCAGTGTAACGTCACAGAGTCAGGACAGCTTAAAGGGGATGAAGAAGGAATTAGTATCCAGCTCACTCCCAGATGCCTCCCCACTAACCCTCCAACACTATAGAAGCACCTGCAAAGCCAAACCAGGAACATAATTCCCCATAGCCTAAACTGCAAAGAGAGTGGCAGCAGCAGATTCTCATGGCTATGATGTAGCTGTGTTGGCACAAAGAATGGACTTCCAGCTTGAACAGTCCCTTGCAAGTCTTCTTCCTTCAGCAAGAGTCAGTATGGGACGATTTAGACTTCTTAAATCCCTCTAAGTTGCATCTTTGAACCCCCTTCATGGCTGGCCTCATGTTCTACTTCCTTCAATCTTAGCTGCATAAACCTTCTGTAAAAGTGTACCTTTGTCTGGGAGTTGTACATGACCCCACCATTGCCATCCTCTTATCAACTGGTGCAGGACTGCAACTTGCCAGGATCATGTAAGTATCTCCTAGTTTGTGACAAAAATCAAACCAATGGACATGAAGAATATACCGGAACTTTTGACACTGAGAACTGTTTAGTTTCCTCTCCTCAACTCTTTTTAATGGCCATGTTTCTGCCCTAACGGCATTATCATCACTACCGTGTTGAGCACTCATATCTTAGCTGTCACACAGACATCCTGCGGCCCAGAGGCCTTTGAAGACGCTGAAATGTCACTGATGCAAGACAGAGCCAACATGTGACTTCTTCAGTTATAGAACTTCCTGCCGTCAACTGACTACCCCGACAAAGAAAACTTTTCACCCATTCTATATCAGTGCCATCTACATGAAACATCAGCAAGTTATTCATTCCCATTTTATAGGAGGCATGCCTAGCTTTGGTTTTATCACCACTGATCCTAAGTCATTCCTTACACTGTACAACACAAAACAGGGGTTTAAATGTGCAATATGCAAATCAGCACACTAAATAATTTGCATAAAACACACAGAGCAGAACAAAATGTGTCTACTATACTTGCAGTGTTTGCAACTCAGACGGCAAAACTCAAAATAAATGAAAATGAAAATAAATAAATAAAAAAACCCAGACAAACTGACCATAAAGAAAAAGGAAACAAACTTCATTGATTTTCATTCTCCAAACTGAGAAAAATGTACAAAGCAAACACAAACATACTTCCAGACACAAAATGTAAACTGGATTTTAAAACGTAAAGTTTTAATAACCCCAAGCACTGTTAGTAAGATAGGCAACTAAAGGTGTGTTTTATTTTGGAAGCATCCCTTTAAATAGTCACATTTTAAACAGAAGAAAAAAACAAATCAAAAAAGTTTTTTTAAAGGGACACGATTAACTTGAAAACTAGTGGAGTTTCAATAAGAGTTAAAAATAGTCTCAGGTACTACACCTGCTTCAGTTCCCCTGCCAATTTTTATAGTTTTTCAGTCAGATTTTCCTATTTTGTAAAAGGCTTTACTACTGAAGGAAAGACCCACACAAGCAGAGGGCACTGATTAATTGACCATTCAGGGGAACAGATAATTTGTCAAACTCACAATGTAAACCAACTGATAACAAAGAAATGCCGATCTCTAATCACTTTCAGTTAAAGGAATCTCATGTATTACTTGAAACAAAAGTAGGTAAAAAAAATTCAGAAAAAAAGCAATTTTTAAGTTGATGGTGTCACTAACAGATTTTTCAGGCATTAGCAGCCAGAAGAATACCATTAAATCTAAAAAGGTCTTTTTTTATTTAGCCATGACACTATTCACCATTCCTATTTGTTTGCAATAATGTCTATTACAAGTCTAGGGTTGCCAACTTTCTAATGGCACAAAACTGAACAGCCTTGCCCCACCCCCTTCTCTTAGGCCCCACCCTTTCCCCCAGACCCCGCCCCTGCTCACTCCATCCCCTCTCCCTTTGTCACTCGCTCTCCCCCACCCTTACTCACTTTCACTTTTGGGCTGGGGTGCAGGAGGAGATGCGGGCTCTGGGGTGGGGCTGAGGATGAGGGGTTTGGAGTGCAGGAGGGGGCTCAGGGCTGGGGCAGGGGTGCAGGAGGGGGTGTGGGCTGCAGGATCTGGGAGAGAGTTTGGGTGTGGGAGGGGTTCTGACCTGGCAAGGGGTTGGAGTGCGGGAGCGGGTTTGGGCTCTGGCCGGGCAGCACTCACCTCAGGCAGCTCCCGGAAGCGGCCGGCATGTCTGGCTCCTAGGCAGAGGGGCCATGGGGCTCTGCGCGCTGCCCGTGCCCACAGGCGCCACCCCTGCAACTCCTATTGGCCAGGAACTGTGCCCAATGGGAGCTGTGGAGCTGGCACTCGGGGCGGAGGGAGCGCATGGAGTCCTTGTGGTCGCCCTTGCACCTAGGGGCCACATGGACATGCCGGCTGCTTCTGGGAGCCGCGTGGAGGCAGGGCAGGCAGGGAGCCTGCCTTAGCCCCACTGCACCGGCAACTGGACTTTTAGCCGCCTAGTCAGCAGTGCTGACCAGAGCCACCACGGTCACTTTTCGACTAGGCCTTCTGGTCGAAAACCAGATACCTGGCAACCTTAATTACAATTGTCCCACTGACAACCCTCGTACTTCCTCTTTATTAGATTAAAAAAGTTTTTAAGCTATACAGACATTGGTCAAATCTATAACAGATACTGTGGCCTTCAAATCTAAATGTTCATCTTCCCATAGTTTATTGATGCCACTCACGCCCCTTCCTTTACAAACGCTTAGAGCTACACCATTTCTTACTGTTAGGGCCACAGACTAACAGCATAAGGCCACAAATTAGAGTGCTGCTTATAGTAACAGTTCTAAGAACCATTCACGAGGTTAATGAATGAGTTGTTATAATCCACTTGCCTTAGAACAGATTTCGTGCAGACTTGTTGCGATGGCTTTCGCAGGCGTATCACATCGAAAGACGTGACATTTCAAAATCCTTGTGTCTTTGTCTCTTGCTACATAAGCAAAGTCTCTGTGCAGACAAAATGAATTAACACATTTTAAATAGCAGCATCTAAAAAAATAGCAAGTTTGGCTTTAATTTAAGAAGCATATGTCTGAGTTGTCAGAGAACAAAATCAGTGGCTCAGCCAAAACAGCTACATCAACAAACTTGACACCACTGCATATCCATGAAATACATTACCAGTCTCTGATGCTTACCCTCTAAAGAGCTCATTGCAACTTTCGAACTCTGAAAACTCATTGTGTTTATAACCCATAAATCCAACAGCAATTGTAAATGTACATGGAAATTTAAAAGAACATTTTATTAAATACTTAAAGAATAAAGACAGCTAAAGCAGAGGGAAAATAGTGTGCTTTTCTGCAAAGATTCATATTCAGCTTCTAAAATAATAGAAAACAAGACAAGCACCCAGCAAACTATCTGAAGAAAAGCTGTATTTCAAAGAATTAGAAAATGCTTAAGATATGCAAACAGTAATTAGAAATACGATTGCATAAGGGAGATGTGTGCCTGCTGAGCTTCACTCACATTAATTGACCTAAATTTCTGACCTTACTACTTTTTCAAATGTTAAATAACTTTAAAGTAAATGCCCTGTAACAAAAAGATTGTTTGCCTAATACTAAGCACTCACACAGTATAGCATGGCTTCAGAGTGCTGAAGCTCTAATTCAGCCTCACAACCACCCTGTTGCAGCATTTCTGTTTACCCACCTTACAGGTGGGAACCCTGAGGAGCAGCTGGCCCTGCAGTGTAGGCAGACCATACAGGAGCAGGATTGAAGGGATGGCAGACACAATCCAGGCAAAGCTTTAACTACCTTTCTCTGCAGCCTTCCACCCACCCTTTTTCCCCCTTTCTCATCATGTGCTGCCCCCTCAGCACACAGTCACTAGCCTTTGCCACTTAGTCAACAGTCCCTGCCAACTGCAAATTTCTCCCCTGTGCCCGACCCCCAGCAGATTGGCTGACTAGAATTAGACAAGACATGGCAAGCTGACCCCCAATCATTCCGTCAGCCTGAAGACACTCTTCAATGCCTTTCCCTCAGAGGGAGGCTGATGACAAGTACTCCAACCCAGAAGCTCCACCATTAAGATGATGGACAAGGAGCCCCATATGGGAAAGTCTAATCCTTTTTTGTTAGTGCATACAGTGGGCCAAATCTTTAGCTGATGTAAATTAGTGAAGCTCCCTTCTGACCCAGTATCTCAAAAGTAAAACTGGACTAAAAACTCCAAATAGGTTGCATTCATCAGGCCTCATGGTGAACTGAGGGAAAGGGGTATATTTAACTATGTTATCTCGAAAAATTATTAGCTATGGAAAAAATGAACTGATTGTTACATAAAACCATCATGAATTTTATATCTTGTGAAGGGGCTGCACATTAATCAAGCCTGCTAGTGCAGCCCTGAAGGGTTTGTAGGCACCATGTTTGTAAGCATTTAGGGTCCCCCAGTCACCCAAACACCTTTATTAACTCTGGTTGGTACTGGAACAGTAAATACGTATTTCTAGACTTTTTGAAACTTTGGACTGTTTTTTAAAACTACAACCTTCTAATTTCCCACCTTTCAAGCATTTTTGTTTTTTTACCTACAATTCCAGATATTTTGTATGTTGTTATAACTATAACATTCTAGCAGTGCTGTTTTAAATGAATAGATATGGATTTACAACCATAACTCTATCGAAGAGTTTCTGATTAGAAACAAAACAAAAAAACGAGGAGTCCTTGTGGCACCTTAGAGACTAACAAATTTATTTGGGCAGTCTCTAAGGTGCCACAAGGACTCCTCGTTGTTTTTGCTGATACAGACTAACAAGGCTACCACTCTGAAACCTGATTAGAAGCACACACTATCTCCCTCTCTCTTCCCTTCTCCCCGCCTTATGTGAAAAAAGATCACTGGTAATGACTATGCCCCCAACACTGCAGAGACAATGGATCCCTGTATGCAGCTCATTGCAGGATTAGGGCCTACTAATGCTGATTTAAAGTGCTGGAGTGCTGGAGTGCTGATTTAAAGGCTAAAATCTGTGTTTATATGAATTTAAAATGCTAATGGAAGCCATCTGCTTTACCATTCCATGAATTTACTATTTACTGAGTATTTACTTCAGTCAATACTATTCCTTTGAGCCCTCTTAACAAGCGTATCCTTGGAAGATTATCCTATGTTTTCACTGGGTTGTTTACATAAATAAGGCCCTGATTCTGCAACCTGCTTTGCACGGGCAGGTCACAGCACCTAAGCAGAGCCCAACAGAAGTCAGCAGAGGTCTGCACAGGCTCAGGGTCCACCCATGTGGAGCAGTTTGCAGAATCAGGGCTAAATAAGAGAATTAACTTCAAGGACTAGCACACGTATTCTCAAATACAGAACAGATTTGGGTAGTGCCTTCTGCTATGAGTGAAGTTAGTCAGTTATCAGTTATTTTCTTATAAATAAAAAGGCAATATATAAGATGAGACAAAACCATTAAAGCAAATCCAATCAGGGTTTTGAAAACGTGCTGTGAAATCCATGATTATAAAACAGCATTAGAAATTCTTGCACTCTGCTTGATCAGCACTGGCAATATCCTGGCACATCAACACCGTTCTAAACTATTGTGTTTTGCTTTACTGAACCACATCGGACAATGTACCTCAACTAACAAGCCAAGTTTTTTGGAGCATATTACACAAAAGCCTCTGCAGCCATATTTAATCCAGCCCTGTTGAGAAATTACTTGAGTTTTCATGCTGAATTGCAAAGATTTAAAATCTTAAAAAGATAATCCCCCCCACTAAATAATAAAAAAACGTATTTAGAAAGCCCCCCATTTCTTATGGGGGGTGCTCACTGTTCAAAACAGACTAAACTATTATAACAGCATAAGATAGACAAAACCAATGCTATAAAGACCAAAGAAAGAAGGGTGGTTACGGTTTAACTGGGAAACTCAGAAAAGGGTTGTCTAACACGGTGGTTCCCAAACTAAGGGCGCGGCTTGTTCAGGGTAAGCCCCTAGCAGGCCGGGCCGGTTTGTTTACCTACTGCATCCGCAGGTTCGGCCGATTGCAGCTTCCAGTGGCTGTAGTTCGCCATTCTCGGCCAATGGGAGCTGCAGGAAGTGGTGCGGGCGGAGGGACGTGCTGGCCGCCGCTTCCCACAGCCCCCACTGGCTTGGAGCGGCGAACCGCGGACACTGGGAGCTGCGATCGGCCGAACCTGCAGAAGCAGCAGGTAAACAAACCGGCTCGGCCCATCAGGGGCTTACCCAAAACAAGCCGCACCCCTAGTTTGGGAACCACTGGTCTAACACCTTCTACTATAAAAGATTCTTGTGACTTTTCTTTCAGAAGTATTAATACTGCCATTGTTTGCAGCAGACATATGATATCCTGCATGGAAAACCTCATAGACTACAGATGTGCCTTTTCTTTGTCCCATTTCAGTCCGTTCAGATTTAACAGAGTTGAAAAGTGTTAAAAATCACCATTCCCCCTGCCCCCCAAATTCTGTCAGAATGCCAAAAATCACTGAACATTTTAAAGAGACTGGCCCATGTTTCTGCCAAGGCAACAGCAGACACTCTGCTGGGAATGTCTGGGAGCTGCCAGAAGCTGTTGCTAGGGGTGGCAGGGCAATGCGAGAGAACGCCAAGCTAGACTTCCCCCAAAATCTCTTTTCCACCTCCCAACTTGGCACATGATCCCAGCATTTCTGTCTCTCTCTCTGGCAGGAGGAAGAGAGACCAGACTAGACTCCCCATATCCTCTCCTGGACTCAGCATATGGCACCAGCATCCCATCCCCATATTCTAGGATAACACTCTCTTCTCCTGTAGTCAGGTAATGTGGTTAGCTCTCTGCCTCAGGTTGTAGCAATCTGTGCTGTAGGGTTTAAGGCTCAGAGTTCTAGCCCTGTGGATGATGTATGAAAGGGAGGATTATTACCATTGCACATAACATAATTTGTTTTCACCTTTGTCCTTGAAAAACTCCTAGGCAATGACATACAAAAAACTACATTAACAGAACCTTATTTTGCTTGCAACATTCTCAATAGTTAGGAAATGCCAGAATTACGGTTGCCCATGCAACTTTAATTCAGCCTCCTTGTGAAAATGTACTGTCATTTTGATTACAGATTGATATACTATTTTTCCCACATGGCCCTTGCCTCACTCAGTGCACAGGCTGGGTGCACAAGAAAGAAGATTTAGGGTCGCATAGGCGCAACTGTAAATCTGGCATGTTCTAACTTCCCAGTGCTTGACTTTGCAACCTAAATAATGGTAATTTAACCAAGTTTTGTATGTAATACCACGTATTCATAACAAGGCAGAACTAAATATACACAGTTAATGACAATCAGCAGCAAAAATTATTTAGTAAATATTTGATCAATTTCAACTTGTGAGGAGCCAAAAAAGCCTTCACTATGATGTTTCAGGGAATTGGGCCCAAGCCCAGCAAATGCTTCCACATGTGCTTAATTTAAAGCACCTGAATATTCCTATTGTCTACAACAGGACTACTCACATCTGTAAAGGTAGGTATATGCATAAGCCTTTGCAGGATCAGATCTGCAAACCTGTCAGGATGGGGAGGATATCTCATCAATAAAACCCTTTCCCTCTCTTTCTTCAAAACCATAGATACTGTATCATGCAGAAATCTGAAAACACCATCTGCTTCCAAATCATCAATCAAACTATCATCTTCCCATCTGACAAGGCACGGATTATAGGTCAACTTCAATAATTCATCAAGTCAACTAAATGTCTTAAGCAACATCCATCCGCACAGTCCTATAGCACAGTACACAATTCTGCAATACTGGCCTGCTCCCACAAGATGCCCAGGCTGCTAAGAATCCAACTTGATTCCCATGTAGCTAGGGTTCAAACCATTCTGTATTTCAAGGAAACAAACAAAACTCCTCCTCTCTCTTTTGTACAAAAATTATCAAGGACACGAGGGCTCCAGTTCATACCCTTCCAGAAC